AAACATAGTCAAGTGGGATCTTGTTTGAATTGTCTCAATGTATATTTTATTAATATCCACTTTATATAATTTTACAATATCGTTAAATAGTGCATTAGCAAATTTGAAAAGGAAAGGTGTCAACTAAATAAAAACGGAGGTAGTTTTAGCTTTTCATTTGACTCAAATTACTATATAAGGCATATTTTATGTGCATAAATTTTCCACTAATGTACATATTTTTTTGAACAAAATAAGCAAAAACAAAAATGACCAAAATTCAACGTGCTATTTTATTTTTGCGTAATGTGCATAAGTTATCATTCATTACCCGCAAATTATTGACGTGAATTGAACCCGACTCAAGCCAAGAATACCCCTAACTCGTTAACTTGTTGAAACCCGAGTATAACTCGACCTACTATTAATCCGACCCAAATTCAACATGACATCTTATTGACCCGATCTAAACCCGACTCAAACTTGATAGGATGCATGACCCAATATGACCCGACCCAATGTAATACCCCATATTTTTCAAACATATTTTCTAATTAATTAATTTATTATTATTTTTAAAAAGGTTATTTTAGTAATTTATTTTAGTAATTTATTTATTTTTAAACCAATAAACATATTTCTATATATATATATATATATATATATATATATATATATATATATATATATATATATATATATCGAATATTCTAATTAAGCAAAAATTCTATTTTATTATTTAATTAGTAGGTCTGAAAATTCCTAATGATTGGCTAATAATTTTCGATTTTCCTAGTGTGAAAAATCTTATTTTCTTAGTTACTTTATTTAGGGAATAATTGGTATTTATCTTAATTAATTATTTTTACAATATACGCTATTTACACAATCATTTTTATTCCCTGAAATCTAGCAAAATAACTTCCTAAATTCTACATAAGGGGTCCGAAAATTTGAGCTATGGAAGCTCGAAATTTTCGGCCATCGTGGTTGATATTTGGGTGATTTATTTTGGTAGTTTGTAATTTTAATTATTTTCCTTGATTCTATTATCTCTCCTTAATTCTTATTTCCCATTTCCTAATTAAATTTGATCATCTTATTTCCCTACTTTAAATCATCCTTGATTATCCCCCAAGCAAAGTCATTTGCCATATTATTTTTCATGACAACATACTTTCCATAAATTAATTATTCCTTAGTCACCTTAATATTAAACTTTTCATAATTTTTTATCTCTCTCTTCAAGCAATTTCCTTAATTATTTTTATCATAATTCTTCCTACATTCTCCTACCATAAATCTTGTACGAGCCCGCCTATAAAGACCCCTTGATTCATTGCTAAACACTCACACCAAATTCTCTATTTTCTCTCTTAATCACTCTAATTCTCTCTGTTCTTTCTCTTGCTTTCACACAGCCACCACCACCACCGATTGCTACCTGCCGCCGACGATAACCACCGCTGTTGGTAGCCACTAGCTCCCCCCTACCACCACCTTTCTTCCTCTTTTCCTTGGTTTTCTACCTCTTATTCTTCTCTTCTCTTAATTAATTAATTAATTAATTATTACTATTATGGGGTTTTATAAAAATTATTATGAGTGTTTCAAATTAGTGGACACAAATTTCTTGTTAATGTGAGATACACATCCCAGCCAATACTACTCCGCCCTCTCACTTTACAATCATGTAATTTAGGATAAAACATCCACTTACTTGCGGATTTGTTCTTGGGCTTAACATACCCCTACATAGGCTAATGGAAGCCCAAGTCACATATCTAATTCCAACTTAGGCTATGAATCTGTGATACCATATTAAATGGCCTAAGCCTAGCCTTCCACGGACCATGATTTTTCACTTTATAAGTTCAAAGAGATTCCATCTCAGAATTATATGTTAATGCAGTAACCCATAGCCTTATACAATGGACGAAATATTTTTGTTTCTTCAATGTGGGTTACAAATGGGATATCATTTCTACATTGTATTTATCATGAAGGTTTGATTTAGACTTTTTTGTGAAAAACTACCATCTATACATCAAAATTTTGTTAAAAACTACCTTATAAAAAAAATTGATGTAAAGAACTACCTTATAAAAACTAAATGTTGTAAGTGGCTACTATGTGAGTAATTTAACAATGAAAGATAAGAGGAATTAGAGGTTATAAAGGGGCTATGGAGAAATTGGGTGGAAAAAGGAGAAAAAATGATGGAATATGGGTCATTAAATGTCTCTTATGCAATATAATAATTCGGCAAAAGGTAGCTTTTTACAACATTAATTATTTAATAAGGTAGTTTCTTATAACATCTATTGTTTAAAAGGTATTTTTTTACAACATTTTTTTTATTAGGTAGTTTTTCACAAAAACTTATTTATATAAGACAGTTCTTCACAAAAAGTCCTTTAATTTATTTAATTATTTATAAAGCTTTTAAATTAAAATACAAAAGTAAACTTTGTATGAATGAGATGAGATATGGTATATAGCATCAATTTTTGACATAACGGTATATATCATCTTGATAAGGTAAACTTTAATTTATTTCTAACAGACCTTTGGTGGGTGATTCTTAAGAAGGATTAAAATAAAAACTCATGCATCGATCATAAGGTAAGAATTATGATTTTTAATCTCTTACATGAAGATAATTCATGAAGAGACAATTAATAACAATGATAAAGTCCAAAATTGGTTTGTAAAGCAATACACGGAATGCAGATATAGTTCAAGCCCAAGGGCCTTGCTTTTGAAAAAAGTTTAGGCCTAAGGTCTATAATTTTATGTTACATGTCAAAGGAACTATATATCTAATTATAATGATACGAGACTATTCTCAACTAAAATCAACATAATAAAAAAAAAAATTAAGTAAAAATAAAAAAACATTAATTATTATAAATCAAACAAACTATTAGAAGAAACTAGTTTTTAAACTTCTGGTCTTAAAACAACTAAACAATTCTCTTATATATTTACAATAGAGGGCTATAGTTGCTTAAACTGGCCTTTTAAATACAACTTTTAAAGTATTAACAACATTATTTACCATTTTAGTAGCCTTTGATGGCTTATCACCCACATATATTGTATCCAATGAGCTACAAGCTAGTACCTGAAAGGCTACGGTAATTAAAGAACCACCTAAATGTGTAACACTCGAACTGGCTGATGGTGCAGCTCTTCCACCAATAACATTAGGTGTGATCGCAAAACCAGAGGCAAGAATTGGAATACTTGAGCAGTCCATGCCATTAGTTACTCCTATCATGTTTTGTTCGTTGATTGCTGCATATACTATTAACGATTCATACGGTCCTGTCATGATTTCTTGAAAGATCATTTCACTTCTCTCATTAGGATTCATAGGCTGCTTGACATGTCAAAAAAGATAATTGCAATTAACTTATCGATGGCAAAAAGAATCGCGTAATATGCAAGAAGCAAAAAAAAAAAAAAAAAAAAAAAAAAAAAAAAAAAAAATTCAAACTAAAAATTTTTGAGGTGATTTTTAAATAAACAATAATTCATATATTAATTTTATAATTTTTTTGGCTAATATGTATAATAATTATCAATTTAACCTAGTTAAGCATATAATTGTTTATAATTTTAAGTTAGTTTTTAATGTTAAGAAAACTACCATTAGTAACATACATACTAAACTGTGACGTTTTAGGTCAATGTAAGATGCAAGATGTGGCATATTATTTAAATACTAATACATTGATCATAAAAATGTGAAATCTAAGTGAAAAGGACACCCAAATTATCGAATCACAAATCTTCGTGGCCATATATTATCAGTTTTGCCTTTTTGCAATTGTTTCACTTTTTTGTTATGTTGATCCCAAATTTAATTGCCACACTTTCTTAAAAGTTGTGAACCAAAAAAATTTGAAATATTATACATACATTTCGTTTCTAGCCACTTATAATAATTAACGTACCAGCTCTTACTCGATCATTCAATTGAATATTTTTTCATTATCTCTTATGAAATCTACTTTATAATAAATATAATAACTTGGAAAATGATAACAACTTGTGCATGAAATTTACTACAGATCAAAGATTTAAGTGGAAATGAATTTAGGATTCAAGCAAGGAGTAGCAATTAAGACATAAAGATACTACACAAATTTACTATAAAGATTCATGTAGTAAAACATATAGAATTACCTGCAAAATAGAGATAGCATTTATGGATTGAATTCCAGTTGGTATACGAATCATCTCATGCACAGGGTTTCCGTTGCAAAGGACATCCCACTGTACATATAAGTAAATTACAGAAATAAGTGACATTAAAATATTAGATAATTCAACAATAAACAATATAGTAAAAGTGATATTGAACCTCTCTTTGAATACAATTTATGTTCCAATATGTTTCTATTTTATGGTTGTTACAAATTTGATCTTTACATTTATGAAAGTCTCCTAAAATAACTCATTCCAATTTCGTATATAACTCATTTAATATTAGGTTTCATTCATAATTCTAGTTTTAAAATTAAATTCCCTTTGGTTCCATTTTTTTTAAGGTGTTCAATAATTCTAGTGGAAAGATTTACAACTCGATTGGCCTATAATTTTTCACAATAACTTAAGGAATCTATATTCTTTGGGTCATGAACTTTGTTAATCTTAATTTCAAGGAAAAAAACAAGGCATTATCAAAAAAAGCAATTCTTTTCTTTAACATGACATTCGTGAGATAATGCATACACAACATATATAAATATTTCTCTAAAATTAAATTGGTTGGAAAATTCTTTAAATGTCAGCTAAAAAAAATTATTGGAAATAATGAAGAAAATAGCTAATACGCTTAAACAAAGAATATGCAAAGTTTGTACCTGAGATCGAGTAGTATAATCACTCAAGAATTCAACAACTTTGTTGGGAGACGCGGGAACCCAAAATGAACGAGCAACTGAGATAACTAATCCAGTTGGAAGATCACTGGTAGTATTCTTCACTACGTCAATCTTGACTCTATTGCTTTTTAATTCATACGTATTTGCATCTTCAAATAAAGAGAAGGTAGAACAATATTTCTTTATCATCCTACGAGAGAGCATCATCATGCTTCTCCTTCCTAAAGACAATAAACGTACTTTAATAAGAGAACAAAGGTATTGAAGAAGAAATAAAATTAAAAAAAGATTTTAAAAAGAAATAAAAAGATCAATGAAGCTAATTGAGATAACCTTGTGTAACATGTTCTGTCATATAAGAATAAAGCTCAGATGTTTTCTGAAGTGTAGTGACCCATCTTTTAGCACAAAACCCCAATGTGTTTTTCACTTGATCGTCATAATTTGGAAGGTTAAAATTAACTTCTACATGCTCTACGCATGTTACCTGTAAATAATTGAAGATGCCTTAATAAATGGTTAAGATACAATAAAGAATCAAGCAACAAACAATAAAGTATTATGAACTATTTGCCACTCAAATTATTTGGAAAATTCATCCTAAATTATGATCCTCAATTGAAATATCTAAAGACACTGTCCAGTTACACCAGTAATTAATAGATTCATATAGATTATTTTAATAAAAGGTTAAATTATATAATTAGTCTATTATCTATGAATATAATATAAGATAAAACTTGTATAATTGAGTATAAAAACAACTAATCTTTATAGTTTTAGGATGTAATCAATAAAGCAGAATTATTTAAAAACATGATGTGTTTTATGAAAAGCACAAAATGGTCTTGTTATATAATTCTAGGAGTCATACTGCTACAAAATTATCTTAAAATGATAAAAAAAAATTACCCTTTAATAAATGAAAGTCACCCAATATATATAGGTTACCATGATATAAATAAATGTTATTTATACTTTATTGATGAAAGTTATTAAAAAAAGTATAAAGTAACCTTTAATTTCAACATAATTCACCCCCATGTACCATAATATTACTCCGTACTATAGATAGAATGTATACAAAAGTTTTTGAAAAATGATATACTATTGATTTTATTTATATATATATAATTATTGGGAATTTCAATATCATCCCAATAATTTGTAAGAATTTTAACACATGCTACACAATCCCTAAATAAAAATAAAAAAATCTTACCTTAGAAATTCCGTTAGGCAGTTGTTCAATCATCCATCCAGATGGATGCTTCCAATAATGAATCGGGGCATTATGATAAGTACCTCCAAACATATTATAGGAAACATTTACGATAACCCATAAACCGGTCTTAATTTCTTGGCAATGTTGAAGTAATGTATATTCCCTTGGCCGATTTATTGGTGGTAAACTATGCATTTTCTTGTAAACCTGCATTAATTCTTCTGATTTAGTTAAAAACAGTTAATGAAATATTTCTAGGACTTGATGTTACTACAAGAGGACATATTACCAGCTGTAGGGAGCCACTTCGATTATCTAATGAACCAGCTTCTATTACACTAACAGTTGTTGCTTTCGAAATAATGGTAGGAAAGTTATCAACCCATTGATCCTACAAAATTAGAATGAAAACTAGAGTAAATGAAACTTTAAATAAATTGATTTCATAATTAAATACTTTCTCTGTTTCACAAATATTGCAACTAGGATGAAATTACGCATCCCAAAACACATTTTATACGATAAATATCTATATAAATATAAGAATAAAATTTATAAAAAGTTGATATTGCGAAAGGATTGTATGAGACGAATCTAACAAAACCTCACATGACTATATTTTACTTAACATATAAATCAAATCATAATTTGTGGTCAAATAAACATGATGAATAGTGCAAAACTCCAGTTGTTGCAATATTACTAGAACGGAGGAAGTATATAAAAAGGATAAAGGAAAGATTTTTGAACTTACTGAATCTAAGAGGAGATCAACTAGCACTTTGGCATTCATGGTAACTATATCAGAATACTTTGAGTACTCCACTCTTGATTTTGGATCCCTTTGTATTTTAGACCCATAATAAAATTTGTCATAGTTGTTACTATCAAACTCATAATTCCCATTGTTTTGAAATTTTATCCAAAAGGGATTATCATTGATTAAATGATCAATGAGCTCTTCCATGGCACGTGCCGCATTCTTAGCCATAACTATCTTTTCAAACTCTGGATGAGCATTTAGCAAGTTAACAGAGTCAAGATTGTCAACATTGCCATTTTTAGCCAAATAATCAATTGTAGAGATAAGGTTGTCACTTCCACTTGGTATGTTGCATGCCAAACTTAATTCAGGATTACCAATGAAATTTTCTATGAGATTTGTCACCCTTCCAATCTGCATAAAACATTAATGTTTAAAGGGTAATATTCTTAATGTATGATGGATATCTTAATTTAATTGAGTTAACTTCCTATGTAATAAACATCAAGATTTGCCAAAAGTAGAAATTACGATGTCTTGTTGTATCTAAGAATAGGTAGGACAAGAAATAGGATGTTTTCATATATATCTAATCAAAATATTTTCATGTGTAAAACCGTTAAATTTTTATACATATTTTACAATAGTTTTTTATTTGCAATTAAACTACGTTTTATTTGACTTATCAATATTAATTCAGACATAAATGAATACAAGTACGTAGTATATGCGTTTTATTGAAGAAGCATTAAAATCAAATAACAAAAATGAGGACAATTTACTCACTCACAATATTTATATATAAGGTATATAAGAGTTCCTACACTAATATATAAGACTTATGAAAGAGTTGAGACGTTTAGAACCTTCATATGTTTTTTTTTTTCTCTTTTTTCTTTTTTGTGTGCAACACTTCCAACATTTTCTCAAGTTAACATTGTATGAAAATCATTTTACACTAATATATACTATTGTGACAATCACGTAAATACATTAATTCATGGTTGTATTCATGGAATTGTTATGTGTTGTTAGTTAGACAAATTTAATTAGGAATAACTAAACACAACTAAATACGCAGAACGTACACTTTGCTTTATCTCTTTGTTTTCTAATTGCAAATTCTGATGAATTCTAGACTCTAGTATTGTCATTCCAAGAGGGCAGACCTTGACAAGAACGACATACCATGGTATTTAGTGCTTCCCGGATAGCACTGTTCTCACATTGAATGCGATCGTTCTTCGAACGCAATAAAATATTTTCATAATGCTCATTTTGCAACAGACAAAAAAAAAAAAAAAAAAAAAAAAAAAAAAAAAAAAAAAAGAGGGGGTCTTAAATTAAACATACGAGTTACGAGTACACATATATAGCAAAAACTTTATCTTAAAAAAAAAGATAAAGGTATGAAAGAAATGTCAACCTGTATTTGAGTTCTCTTGTTCTCGAACCAATATTTTATATTTATAGGCTCCAATCCTAATTCCATCCCCAGTAGGTGCTGTTGATTTTCATCTGGATATGGATATCCCTGGTAAAATCTTATTTGACAAGAAAAAAAGCTAGTCATTATTGTAAATCTAGTTATATAACAATTTTGATAAAATTTGGCAATTTGAAAAAAAAAAAAAAAAGGCATAAATTGTTTTGATTTAACCATACATTTTTTTCACAAAATGGGCTTAATATTTTGTGCTCATTTGACAACATTTTTCAAGTTATTTGATAACAACTATTTGAATTAAGTTGATAGAATTAAGAGAACTAGAATTACTGTACCAAATATGATTAGGCGGTGCAGATATATGTCAGATTAAAATTCATACTCAAATGTGTCTTTTGTCCAACTTTCATATAAGCAAGTCCTATAAAGAGGATAGGTTGGTTCATTTGAAGAGAATCTATTCTATGATCAACCCTGAATCATGTGATGAATGAACGGGCTCCGTAAGATCCAGACGTGTGTGTAATTTTGCATTATATAATCTAGATTATATTATTATTTCTTGATTATAATTTTATTAATAGTTTGAATAGTATAAAAATGCATTAATTTCCTTTGCATTGACTTGATCTATGATACTATCGGAGTGAAACCAGGGATCTAAAGAACAATAGAGACTAGACTATATTAGTAACAAGTAAACCCTTTGTTTGTACTATAAATATAAAATTTTCTATTTTATAGAAAGTCAAAATCTTCAAAATATGAATTGTTTCAACTATCCCATAAATTAGTCTCATCCTAAAAAATTGAAAAAAAAAAAATAAAAAATTTAAAGATATATATCCAATAGACTTTTTAAAGGGTCCTTATATAACTTTTTCAGGGATTAGCATTCCAACATAGCAATCTACCTACTTGGGGGAGGATCTAATTCCCCATACTTTTTACTATCAACACAATCACCAGGACCGTCCCGTTAAATTTCGGGGCCCTGTTCTAAACTATAAAATGATCCCTAACGGAAAAAAAATTATAATACTTAAATCTAATTTCAAAAATAATATCATAATAGTCATATATATATCTTAGTTATAAGTCCAACTATCCCAAATCCCAACAAGTTAGGTGATCGACAACTCCTCAACCAAAACAGAAATATCGAATCTCATCAAACAATATATAAATCGTATTTTTTTTTTCTCCCAAAGATAATTTTGAGCAAAAGTTGTAGAAATTGCTTAGAAATTTATAAATGGTAAAAAAGGATTAGTCGTTTGATAATAAACGAAAATCAAGAGAAGTAATGGTAAAGACTGAAAAATTAATTCTTCCATTGAAAATTGGAAGAGGAAGGTGAGATAATTACTAATTATTTTTAGGTAAAATAAGAAGTTAATGAGAATTTAGCATTAAATGAGATATGGAATAGAAAAAGTGATGGAAATTTCATATTTAAGTAATGAAATTAAATTGGATATTGGAATTTGGAAAGTTTGATATTGAAAATGGAAGGTAGTAGATTGATCGTGGTCTTGCGGAGAAAACGATGATGTACTGTACGTTGAATGAATGATTGACTTTTGAATTGTTTTATTATTTTTGTGTTTTTTTAGTTTGGTTGGGCTTTAATTGAAAAGGGCCCTATAAAATTAGGGGCCCTGTGCCCTGCCAATCACTTTTATTTATTTTGTATTTTTTTATGCATAGCCTTTATCAATCAAATTAAAGCAGTTTTACTTGAAGACTTTCTTCTACCTTTTTCGACAAACACATATATAACAAAAGTTTTTAACACCTTTAAATTAGTTTTGAAAAGTTTTATGTTATGAGCAAATAACAAATTACGGTCAAAATTTTCATCTAAGTTGTCAACATTTTTTTTTTATTGGTTGTATCAACGATTCATATCTATGTGTTCATATGGATTCCTTTAAGTAAAATGATATTTGTTGTGGAAAAACATATTAATCAAAATTTAATAAGATTGCTAAATACAATCTTCATTTACTCAACACCCCCCCCCCCCTCCCAAAAAAAAAAAAAAATCCAAAATTTACCATCACTCTCATATTCCCTCTCAAATTCCAAAACATTCTTTTGGCCTTCTCTCTTCCACTTAAACCCCGAAATTTTCAAATTTAACAATTGGCCTACTATCGTTTTGAATGCACATATCTCACTTATTGTATACTGTATTAAAAATATGAATATCATTGCATTGAAGTAGCTTCCATTACATTTTTATTGGTATTTATTAACGATATTAGATAGGAAAAAATTCTTATAGAGAAGAAATGATAAATTTGAAATCTATAACAATAATGTTCAAAGATAAAAGAAAATTCTAGTATAACAATTATAAATCAAAACAAACATATTTGAATATGGGGTGGGGCGGGGGGGGGGGGGGTGGTGGTGGTGGTGTGGGAGCTGAGTGAAAACTAAAATCCACTCTCCAAGTTGTATATTAATAAATGTCAAATGAGATACCAAGTGGAATAAATTTGTAGAATAATAACAAAAATCACATTGGCAGTTACGTAAAAGGTTAAAAATTGAAAGCTCTTAGAGGGAGTAAAGATCCTTACTCTTCCAGCCTTTGAAGTTGCTTAGATGTGAGGTTGTGTTTGATTTTCTTCTCTTGATGATCGTTGTTACCCTTACTCCCTATCTGGTATGCCATTATTCTTCAACCATCACCAACGTAAATACCACTATTTTGTTACAAAAATTTTCTCTTATTTATAACTAAATAATTGTTGTAAAGTTTCACAAAAAGAAATCCCAGATGACTTAACCCAATTTTGATTTTGCATCCCATCAGATACGAATCCGATTAGATATTTTTTATGTCCCATAAACTTTCAATTCTATGAAAATTTCGTTAATTAATAAATCAGAAGAAAAATCTTTACAGATCGCTACCATCACCCATCATAAAGGAAACAAATCATTTTTAAACAATGTCGCAACTTCCATAAAACATTTATTATTACACTCCCTTTGTCACACAATATCTTACACGTTTTGACTTTTCGCATTATTTGCGTAGTTACTTTGATCATATTTGTTACTACTTTATAAATAATAAATTATTGCTACAATGTCGGATTAATATTGATGTTTATTTTTTACATTTTTTAGTTGTTTTTTAAAAATTAATTATTTATTTTAATTCCTTTCTAATGAGTAATCAATGATAATAATAATTAAAGTTGTGTGGAAATTTTGAGCAAATGAGATTAGTCGGGTATTATTTGGATGGATGGGATATTTTTCACGGTTAATATTGCAAAATGTATCTCTCTATGGGCGCATTTGATGGTCAATACTAATTTACAAATATTTTTAAAAGGAAAATCCTAGCCAGTATGCATGATTGTAGACACTTAAAAAGCGAAACACCCCCCCCCCCCCAAAAAAAATGTTTCTATGTCCAATGCATGTTTCTGATTCCCTTAAAACCTTTCTCCTAGCCTTAAAAGAATAAAATACATCTTAAAGCCCTAAATCAAGTCATAAAAACCAATTAAAGTCAAACTTGAAAACCCCAATTCAATGTTATTCCTCAAACCCTATAAGGCCTAAATCCAACATTCAAACTGCCCAATAATTCTTTTAGAGTTTCAGGGCCCAACTCTTGAACCTTTGGAACACCCTAAACCTTTAAGAGTTAAGGAAAACCTTTAGCATTAAGCAAAGCAAATAAAGTTTCCAATTAGAAGTTCAATTTACTTGCACCAGATGCACTCTTCATATGTCAAGTAACTCATGTCTACTACACTCAAACCTACCTTTTTACATATTGTGGTTTTTTTTTTACTGCCTAAGTTTCCATAGTACGACTCTTGCTAAATCCATGTGTTCCATGCACAACAAACACTATAACCCCTTATTTTCCATAAGTACCCCCCCCGGTTATTTCTCAATTAAAAGGGGTCAAAACATAACAAAAATACAACAAAACTCTTCCAAAATATTGACGCTACTTTCTTGGAAAAATTATGCATTATAAACATTTACTAATCACACTAATAAATCTAACAAATCAAATCAAACACATAATATTTAAAGTATTAGTTAACTTCTTATTGGAGCTGGACTTTAGAGTCTTAGCTTCAATGCATGTGCATAATCCGTTAACCTAATAGTTCTAATCTTATCATTTTTTAAGTCCTTTATTTCAAGTTTTTCTTAACTTGTTTTCCAAAATTTTGCTCCCATTATGTTCAAAATTTTGCTCCCATTTCTTAACCTAATAGTTCTAATCTTATCATTTTTTAAGTCCTTTATTTGCTTCCAAGCTTGATCCTTTATGCTTCTTCAACCTGGAAAAAATGGAAACTAGAATATAATTTATCTTTCTTGTTCTTCACCCTTGGCTTGTGTAGAGTTCCTTGTTTTCTAGTAGTGGCAGATGAAGGAGGAGTATGAAGAAAAAGATTATGTTTAAAGTCATGGGATTATCTTCATTAGAACACATGGATTCTACTTCAGCTATGTGATGTGTCTATTTTATATAATATTTTACCCCCGTCCCTTGGTCATAATTAGTAGTGTTTTTGGCTCTTTAGAGCCACTTTTATTACTAATTGGTGTTTTCTTGTGTTTTCGTAAATTTGGTTGACTTTTGCAGAGATTTACACTTTTAGAGTATTTTCCCGAGATATTTTGGAGCAATCACGAGCACTGGAGAAGCACGAC